TAAACCCAAATAGTTTTAAACAATATTATTATCTTATGTTATCTCAGATTTTTGCATAAAGCATAACAGCATTTAAGGTGTGGCCACGGACCTGAATTATGTGAAGCTGCTTCAATACATCTATCAGGGATAATGGTAAATATAGGAAGCTTTAATATAATGTCTATTTTCTCTATATTCAAAAGCCCAGGCCCCAGCGCGACACCTCCTGTAAGGATATATGTGTGTATGTATATATAGGGTTTAGGTCCCAAAACTAGGGTTCAGTTGTTTCTGGGTGGTTGTGAATGAGTTACACAATGGAGAATGTCGAATTGGAAAGAAAAAGGAATTGTTTGGAGACCGGAGTTATGTAGGAATGGTGAGGAACCTAAATAAAGTTACCATACAAGTTACTATGCGTACCTGGTGGTTTCCTTTTCCTTATACTGGTAGCTTAAAATCAGTTCCTAAGTTCAGTTCCTTCACAGCAAGCCAGGTTTTGATGATGGTCGGAAGCGGGCGTGCTAGGGCTGCGGGAGGTTGCGTGTAGGAGAGGAGGTGGCTTTGCATTTAACGGTGGGCAAACTCTACAATACTTCCAGCTCCCCCAAGCGCAGCCCATGTCAATGGCATGTTGCGCATAACCCCTTTCCATATAACACCGTCAAATAGATCCCAAAGTGCCAAAGCACCAATGCCGGTATAGTTTTGGTTTCAGCTGAGTCCTTCATGATGGCCTTTACTATTGATGCATAAGGCGGAGGGGGGACGTGCAAGTTATGAGGGAGAACCTTGGGTTTTTATAATATAGGGATCCAGAGTAATCTTTGACGATCTTCTACCCGGTCGGTGCCTTGTAGGGAATGGTTGGGAGCAATGTGACTGCTGGTTCTGTGTGTGGGCAACTTCGCTCATTTCAGACTTGTCCAAGAGCTCCAGTGAAAACTACCGCTGTTTCCGACATTTTGCCGTAATGTGCTGAAATTTAAGTTGGGGGCTTCCTTAAACCTTGCACGGGCTCCCAACACAGAGCAGACGCTCTATAGGCCCTTACCCCTTCGCTCCAAGGAAGCCTTCATGCGGTGGGCCGGTGGGTGGGGGAATGTTTCCCACTTATGAAGTATCCAAAGTACTGGCATTCCAGGGTGTGAGAGGCGGTGCCTGCAACTGCGTGGATCTCTCCTGCAAATGGAATTGCCATAGTGGGAGTCATAGAGGGACTACTGTACTACTGCAGGGGTCCATCCCCCCATTCCCTTCTAAGCACCACCCAACCCTAAACCCTAAACCTCTAAACCCCTAAAACCCTAAACCCCTAAACCCCTAAAACCCTAAACCCTAACCCCTAAACCATTAAACCCCTAAGCCCTCAACCTGAAGCCTTTGCAGGTGGAATTGAGTTCAACGGCAACACGCTGAAGCTCAACGCATCGCGCGTCGAGCCGCAGACCGCCTCCTGCATCCACATGAGCTAAAGTCTAAACTCTTTAAAGGGGGTTATACAGGGGAGTATATAGGAAACTACTATAGGGGTTGTTAGGGAGGATCCTAGGAGTTTAGACTATGGCTCACATTAGGTTTTAGGGTTTAGGGTTTAGGGCTGGGGTTATCTCTTGATAGGGCTTTGTACTCGTAACGGTGATATAGGCCCGTAAAGGGTTTATGTAGGGCTATATCGTATACAGGGCTGTTTTCGCAGAAATAAGGGCCCGCTTGTGGGAGTCGTCACAAGAAGGCAATGGTATATGGGGATTTACGAAAGGGTGGCTTTCTGGCATGATTACGACTGTGATTTTAGAGAATAACGGGGCCTCTACTTGAAAGATGTGCCATACCCACCTATGGTACCTATAGTCTCTGGAGGCACCCTCTGTTCCTGCTCTGCCTTCACGCGTTCTCTAGAGCTTCAAGGAGCCTATGCTGCCCAAATCCCCAAATCCCAGATGTCCTCAACCCTATGACCCCTGGATTTCAAGGACACCCCGAAAATCTCAGGTCAAATGGCCCAACTGTGCCAACACCAACCTCGTAGTCAAGGCAAAGCGAATCGCGCTGGGTCACCGGGATGGCAAACCAGGAGTCCCTTCTTCCCCCGTTTCCCTCCCCCCACCCCCCCAAGAAAGTAAACACCTCCCATACCTGCCTACCCCCTAACATCAAATATTCCCTACAGCAGTCGACTTTTTGGGGCTGCCTATTTGCAGGGCGGCGGTTTTGGACGCTGGGGCGGCCAAAGGGATTAATAGACAAGGTCGCTACAGCAGCAAGAGTTCTCCATGAAATCGTGGTTATAGTCGAAGCGGTCGTCTTTGTCGTCGCGTTTGTCTTCGTGTTCGTCGTAGCCTTTGCAGTTGCTGTAGTGCTTCCTAGCTGTCATCTTGTAGTTGTCCTCATGGACTCTGTTTTGGCATCTGGGGGTTTCCAAGAATTAAGGGTACTTTTTTTGGGGTCCCCATAATAAGGAGTATAGTATTTTGGGGTCCACATTGGGGTCCCCCTATTTATGGAAGCTACCATATTGACCAACAATGGATGTCATTGTAACAGCCGCTGGCCGTCAGTGTAGCATGAACGTGGTCATGGTTGTGGTCATCGTGATCGTAATAGGGTGGTAACGGTCATGTGGACGACATGGTGATGAGTTAATATCTGGCAGGTAGCGCGTGAAAACCTTGAGCGCGCGCTGCGCGCTGAGCCATTAGCACTTACATCCTCAAGCCAATTAGAAAACCGAAAACCCCAGAATTGCCCCTGCTGAGGCATTCGTCTCTTGAAAGTTTTCCGCATAAAATTCCTTGGCGTGACCTTTACTTCTCCTGTCAGTAAGGCTCGCGTATCCCTAGGTTACATATTAAATATGAGCTAGAGTCCAAACTCCTTAAAGGGGTTAAATAGGGGATTATATAGGGGACTATTCTAGGGGTTATTACGGGGGAATACTGAGAGTTTAGACTGTGGCTCATGTAGGCCCCTCCAGTTTGAGAAGCTCCAGGTTCCTGAAAATATTTCTCAATTTCTGTTACCTAGAACCCTAATATTTAGCTGAAATTCAAATTTCTACTGGGGTTCCAAATCCCTTGGAGTCCAGGTATGTGCATCATGTTCGCCGGCTTGGCCTTGTGGGTCGTGGCCTTCTACCTGCCTTACGCCTGGTTCACGCTGACCTTCAACTACTCCTACGGCCAGGCTCGTGTAGCGACCCAAAAGGGACATAAAACCCGTATTCCGGTTTAGAAACTGACGCTGGTCTTCGTAATTCGGGCTTCTCTTGGGATTCCACAGTTGTAACGAGTAAAGAGGGTTCCAGGCTTGCTCATGTGTAGAAAAGCAAGCCCAGCAGGTTTATAGCCTGAAGCATAGCCCTCGATGCTCGATCTTGCACATCAGTTCCTCGCCTCCACACCCTAAACCCTAAATCCTAAACCCTGAATCTCCTCATCCACCAAAATCCCAATTTCGGCCAGAACCGAAGGAGCCTGGCTTCGTGGCCGGAATGACCTTCTCTATGGTGGGGACCTAAATGGTTTCGGGTACTAGATAATTACCAACATGCCGGTTTCCTCAAGTTAGGGCTACCATGAATTAGGGGTACAATTTTGGGGGCCCCCATGATACGGATAAACGTTTACTGGGTTCCATATTTGAGCTACAGTCTAAACTCCTAGTATCCCCCTTAATGAGCCCTATAGTAGTCCCCTATATAACCCCCTTTTAAGGAGTTTAGACTATAGTACATTTGGGGTCCCCATTTTTGGGAAGCTACCAACATTAGGGTCCGAGATGCCTTATATACTTAGGCTACTGGTTACCGCGGAGAGGCCTCAAAATGACATGACTATTTTTGTATTACCGGACAGTAGGTTTAGTGTTTTTTGGGGTTGGAGCCTTTGATGTTCTTGGGGTTCAGGGTCAACTTTCTGGTGATTGGTCGGGCGGTTTCAGGGTTTAGTCTTTAGGGGATGGGCTTATACTTATGGATGTTTATCGGGGATTGTATAAGTACAGGGGCTGCTATAAGGATCCACGTGTCAAGTCCCTGCTCACCACCAGCAAGCTTAGAGATGCATGAGGACTACATGAGCCATAGTCTAAACTCCTTAAAGGGGGATTATATAGGGGATTATATATGCGACTACTACAAAGGGGTACTAAGGGGTATATTAGGAGTTTAGACTATAATCCCTATAATCCCCTACATAACCCTGTATATATAGCAGTTTCCATTTCATTTTCCATGTTCTTTTCCACTTGATTCTCCATTATTTAAGGGGGATACTAGGAGTTTAGACTATGGCTTACATGAGAATGTGGCTGCCAGGCCTGCTAGTAGTGATCAGAAGAACTCCCCCAAACTTAAGGTGACATGTAGGGGTTTCCTAAAATTAGGGGGTACCCTTTTGGGGGTCCCCATAATAAGGATCATAGTATTTGGGGGTCTATATTGGGGTCCCCCTATTTAGGGAAAGTACCATTTGCATCCCTAACAAGACTCTGGACCTTTGCAGCTTCTAAAAACTGATCGCAGGCGCTCATGCTAGGGGTATAAGATTGTGTGTCAACAAAGAGAACCAAGGCAGCAGAATCCAACAGCCAAAGCTGCTTACACAAGGACTCCTCAGGAAAGACCTCAACTTTTGCAAGCGCTCGCAGAACAGGTCGTTGTTGCTGGCAACGCGCTGATGTATTTGGCTCCTCGAAATGCATTTAGGATCGTGAAGGGGTTTGGGGTACCCATGTGGTCCAATGAAACTAGGATCTGGACAAAACAATAAACGCACCCCACCCCACCTCCGAATCTATCCCAGAGATGGGCGATTGCCACCGACGTTTTTGTTGGGAGTTGGGAGAGGGAAGGGATGACTTCCGTGCCTCTGTGCCGAAAATCACGGCAATATCGTTGCCAATGGCCTCGAACGCGCACCTGGCTTTACAGGTGCAAGGGCCATAGCTTCCTCATAAAGCATTGCTTCTTGATACGGCTAACTTGCCTCTGGTTAGCTGAGAACGAAGGAATCAAAAGAAAATGGAAACCATTAACTACATGCCTGAGGATTTAGTAGGGAATGCTATAAGGATCCATCCCTTCATTCCTTGCTCGCCAGATGCGGCTAGCAATAGGAAACGATCTTCTACATGCTTCAACAGTTTTTGTTTCTACAGACTAGAAATTTATTGGGGGAATAGCCCCTTCATGCCTATATAAGCCTTACATGATCGCATAGAGACCTGAGATAATCCCTAAATTAACCTCATATGAGCTAAAGTCTAAACTCCTAGTACCCCCCCTTAATAACCCCTATAAGATTCCCCAATGTAATCCCATATATGACCCCCTTTAAGGCGTTTAGATGACAGCTCATCATATATGATCCTGAAGAAAACCCACAGAAACCTGAGATAATCCTTAATTTTGCCTCATATATGATTCTGAAGAAAGCCCACAGAAACCTGATATAATCCTTACATTAATCTCGCAATTACATGATCTTGAACCCTGAACCCTAAATCCTAAACCCTCAACTCCTAAATCCTAAGCCCTAAACTCCTCAACTGCGGTGCGGAGGTCTGCAGCGAGGTTGCGGATCGCACGCGGTTCATCTACATCGACGACCGCGAGGCGAATTTTCTGGTCGAGGGTTTAGAAGGAATGGAAAAGAAAATGAATAGAAACTACTATAATGGATCATATAGGGACTACTATGGGGATCCTAGGGGTTTGGGGCCTTGGGGTTTTTAGTGGGCCCGGAGCTTGGTCGTTAGCCTTTTCAGTGGGGAAAGGGGGTTAGGGCTCAAAGGTCTCCGCCTTCAGTTGGGCAAAAGCGCAGCTGTGGTATGGTGAAACAAGGTTCCCTGATTGGTAAAGTGCTGCAAACGCACAAACCGTCTTCCAAATAGATCCCGTTGGATCGTCCCTGATTGTTGGAAGGTCCGCTACATGATCCTCACCATATGAAAACTATTTCGTACCATTCCGCATCAAATCTTCCTTACTGGAGCTTAGTAGGGAATAAGGGGATCATCATGTAGCGACTACATCCGGGTTATATTCCCTTATCCTCTACTAAGAACCAGTAAGTCTTCTGTTAACTTCTGTGAAGTACAACTTGCCTCCGCGCAGTCTCCCTTTTAAAGCCGGGGCAGAATTGAACATACATTTTAACTTCTATAACCCTGAATCCTTATACAACCCTCATAAAGCCATAGAAATCCAATGTCCATAGGTGGCCCGTCCTTTACAATTCCCAGGTCGCCTTGTAGGCAAGGCCTGCTTCTGCATGTTGCTTTAAACAAGCCCTACACCTCATATGTCCCTATATGTATATATCCCTATTCCATCCCATTCCCATCTATCCCCATGAAGAAGTACTAATGCCTAAACCCATGTACCCCTATAGCCCTTCAACCCAGAGCCCCAAGCACAAAGAGGTCTGCTACATGTTGCTCTACTGCTTCGCCTGTGTCTTCAACGTTGCCCTGGATCTGATCACCACCTACATGGTGGCCTACCGGGCAGCTTCTCCTAACCACAGGGTTTTACAAGGCTAGGCTTTTCTTCTTGGTGGCTAGCAGAGAATGAAGGAAGTTTTGCATGTAGGTTTGGGCATCATAATTTGAAGTTTAGCCTCTCTTCGCAGGCAATTCTAATCATCATCTTAAGCTGAAACGCGTGCTTCTTCATGTTCGAGACCCCGCCTCTGCTTGGCAGAGCTCTTGTGACAGGGCCCAGCACAGAATGGAGCAGTGAGTTTGAGAAATACCAAGGTATAGCATCAACTCAAATCACAGTTTCTTCAGCATTTAGTGGAAAATGTTTTGTCAGCTCGTTGGCGTAGCCTTACCCGGTTGCATCTGTAGGGTAGTCATTATTAGGAGGACTATGGGTAACATAGCTTTCGGGGCAAATGAGCGTACTTGACCCGGCTTGCATCCAGTATAGATGGTTCCACTGCCTTTTGGTAGAACCAGATTGTCTTCACTGTGTTCCAGTCCAAACACAAGCTAGCTACGGACATACAAGGGTTATATGGGGTTATATACGGGTTTTATAGTGGTGTATAGGGATATTTGATCCCAATCATGGGTTTAGGGTCGTGTAGGGTATCTGACGCTCAGCATCGAGGCCCAGAGATCCTAGTTGAAAAGGGTGGTTGAGAGTGAGGGTGTATTCGGGTTTAGGTTTTAGGGGTTACAGACTATCCCCCAACGGGATTAAGAATTTAAAAGCGTAATGATAATCTTCATGTAGTCCTTCAAGCCCGGGGGGGCTTTGGGTTCTGGCGTTGCAGTCCTTTAGACTTCAATGACCGGTGCTGACTTGCTGGCCCTTGTCTTGAATTGATGACATCCATCCTCTGCGTACGTAGCATGAGACGATTCTTCGGGGTGAAGTTCAATTGTGAGACGTGTTGGAACAGAGCTCTGAATATGCATGAATCCCTAAACCGTCCAATTCTTCATGTTAGCCCTGCAGAAACGAGCACAACCAGTGTGCATGATTATCTGCAGCCTGCTATGGTCATCCTGACGAACTCGCTTCGCATGTCCATGTAAGGTGAACGTGGGACTTCGCATGAAGACTTACGACGGAACCCTGCTCCTTGGAAAAGGTGACACCTTCCAGTCTAAAAGCTCAGGTTTCCTTGAACGTTTAAATTTCGACGAGGAAGAAGAAGTATGCAAGGCAAATCCTATGAAGTTCTAGTACACGCTGGGTAGTAAAGGCCTGAAGTTATCGCCAGGTTTATGCCTTACCCCGTTGTGTGTTGCAGTTGTGTCTCGCTATACTGCTACCTAGACTCAACAAAGTATTGGTGGAATGCTCCCAGGCTGAGCAACCTCCAGTCGTTCTCCGACCGCTTTGAGAGCTACGCCATGCAGCGCACGCTGGCCAACAACCTCTACGCCTACGCCTTCCCGGCTGCGGGTCCTGAACGGCTTAGGGTTTTGAGGGCCGGCTTAGGTTTCCTCATAACTCTCGAAGAAGCTACGTATCGAGCTCTGCCTGCGGCATTCCCAATGCTGTCATTCCCTTGCATGCTGCGCGGGAAAGGGAGTAGACGTCCACGTTATTATAATGATAAGCCCAATGCAGCCAGATATAAATCCAATCTCCATTTGATTTCTTTTTTCTTTTCCATGTGAGTCCACATTAGCTATGGGGGGTGGCATCCCTAAACCCTAATCCCGAAATGGTAGCTTGCATTTTTCTTTCCATTGTTCCTTTAACCTTAACCCTATGTAGTCCCAATATAAGCCCTATATACAAAATCCTTAGAAAACAGCCGTAATGGAGAAATATGACGGCAGAAGCTTAGAGAATTGTTTGTACACTTTCGCGTGGTTTCTGGGAAATGCCTGTGCCTTCTGGGAAATGCAGCGACTTGTGACCAGGCACAGGGGTTGCCAAAAATTAGGGGTATGTTTTTGGGGTTCCCAATAATAAGGATTGCAGTAGTTTGGGGTCTGTATTGGGGTTCCCTCATTTATGGATATTCTCCATGATGCTGCCAGGCCGAGTTCTGCTGCCGTAAAGAGTTTTCAGGAAACCACGGGGCATGCAAATCACAGATCATCTAACCCACAGCTAGGCAAGATGGTAGGTAGGTTTACTAAGTCAAAAGGGCCTCAATCAAGTCTTTTGGAAAAGTAGGGGATGTCTCAGCAAAGATGGTACAGGGATGGTCACAGAAGCATCATACACCCTTGAACAGGTCTCAGAAAACAAATACCTGTGGCAGCCACTCATGTCACCATATCATCCAGGGTTACGGAGTTCATCACAAGCCCCATTATACCCCTATTGCTGAGTAGGCCCTCTTAGTCGAGAGAGCCTGAGAGTAGAGCCAAAGCCCCGGGCCACGAGCGCCCGACTTCGGGCCCAGGGCTTGCGAAGATCAAGGTCCTGAGGTTTAATTACAGATTTTACGGACTTTTAGAATCGTCCTAAATCTAAATGCCTAGTTTCGTCGTGGTTGCAAGTACATCTTACATCAAGATATTTCCGTTGAGCCCGCACTTGCGACCCTAGTGACTGTGTGGAAGTAATTAGCTGGATGAAGGGTCACGCTTGCAAGATTCCAACATAATCAGCCCAACCCAGACCTTAAACGCTAAACCGTAAGCCCTTGATCCCTTGAACTGAGGCTACTTTCCTCATTCCCTTCCTTATTGAGCCGGTCGCCACCATCTACGCTCCCTACAAGCTGATGGCAGCCTAGACTCAAACATGCCAAGTTTCCGCTGTTTTGTTCTAAGGGAACTTGTACGAAGGCTGCACTCGTTGGGTCCCGTCGCTTTTGGAAGGTGTTTTTGGGCTTTCAGTGGGGCTTGCTCGTCTGCTGGTCATAGATTCTGGGCTACATGGGGGCTCAGGTAGGAAGAACTTTTGAGTCCTGAGTACTTCACATGCCCTCGGGAGCAACTTGAAAAGGCACAGCTGCACTACTTGTCACCCAGGAAACGTGCCGCAAGTGGTTGCTGCTGAGGACATGGCAATTCCCGCAGGACCCAAAAGCAATGGAAACTATTACTATAAGGATACACTCCTTCCTTCCTAGCTACGCAAAAGTAAGCGGAGTCCTTGCCCCAGGGTGAGCTCTCGTTAAACAGAGAGGCTGCGGGAGAAAGGTTCACCATGTTGCAAGAATGATTTGGCAGTTGTCCACATGTCAAGGTATTGTACCCCCTGCCCCTGCTGTGGCTAAGTTTGCCATGCCAGGATGGTGGATACCAGATGGCTGGTTCCAAGTATTCAGGCGTAACCACTCCCGCTTGCAATCCACGGGTTACCGCTTTTCCCACCAGCCTTTGCTGACTCTTCCTGCAAAGTTATGCTGTCTCGGACCCATTCCAAGGATGGAAAGGATATCCCACATTGCACATAATAATCTCATGACAGACCTCCAACTGTTTTGTAGCGGTCTGAACTAGACAGCGCATTGTTGCTTCCCAGGTGATGATCGTACGCACGCAGCCGCACATCAAGGGCCTCCTGGCTTTCCCTTGCCCTGGTGCCTAGTGGGGAATGGGGGAATGGCTTACAGAGGATGGTAGGCAAACCCTAAACCCTACACCCTAAGGATATAGGTGATTCTTAGGGATCCTGTAGGAACACATTCCCTCAATGTGTGTTAAGCACCAGGTAGTCTTTCCTGTTAGCTGTTCACACTCTGAAGCCCGGCAAATAGAACCACAGTCATGATGTAACGCCAGCGATAGCGAGCAGCTACTGGTACACAGAGACGCCTTTCCCGCATGACACTAAACACCCCCCCACTTAATATCAAATCAATATATACGGGCCACAAGAGGAACCACGTAATATCGGGAAATTGGTTGTGGGAGGCTGATTGATTTTGACAGCGGTGGCGGAAGGCTCGCGCCGGCGATGACAACTAACAACTGCACTCGCGGTACGATACAGCCCATGGAGGAATTTTTGCATGAGTTTTCATACCCGAGCCCAAGGAATTATGGTGTCGCAGCTTTAGCATATCTGGGACCTAGATTGACGCGGGGTTTGTCAACCAACAGTAGAATGCATGGATGGTTGATGATGGCAACACGAAATTGGCTCTAGCGCGCTCATCGGGACATTTGACAGCTCTGTAGCTATAGCTCCAGTCATGCCCCGAACATGCATCACCCATATGATGGGAACTCCCAAACAGGGACTCCCTTCGCTGGAAGCCTTGAAGTATAGTGGCCTTGGTACAGTCCTGATAACCCTGCGAAGGAGCCCCTAAATGGTAGTTTCCCTAAATGAGGGAACCCCAATATAGACCCCAAAATACTATAGTCCTTATTATTGGGACCCCCAAAATGGTACCCCTAATTTTGGGAAACCCCTAAATTTCAGAAAGTCTCCATCACTTCACTGTCGCGGCTTCAACTCGAGGTTTCATGGCAGAGAACCTTCTGGGCGGCCTTGTGTTTGATCTCTCGCACCTAGGCACATTCATGGCTTCATATGGCTTCAGTATAGTAATCATCCTTCTACGGGTTCATGAGACCTGTGTTCCATGCGTTGGGTTGCGGTCGTCTACCTTAAGAAGGACCAATATAGTTGGTTTTCTCCAATCAGAGGTTTCTGCTTGTGGCACGCTTGATGAGAACTATCGTTTATTTGGGTATAAACAGGGTCCGCCTGTTTTTGGAAATTCCAGCACCATGCCCGCCACTCGACTCAGCCGCTACGCGGACCTGATGTTGGATGCCATGATCGCCGTGCTGATCTTTTTCTTCCCAGGCGGCTTTAACATTCAGATGCTGGGATGCAAGCAGCGTTTCTATGTGAGTCTCATGTTCAACTGGTAGGTCTAGGGGTTCCCGTAGGGGAGTACCCCAATATGGCAAAACTAGATGTGGGACTTTCGAGGGCACCCCACGTGCACAGAACAACTGAAGCAGGCATTAAGGAGTCTGTCAAAGATATGCTTAGATGAGCCACCATCCTCATTCTATACCGCCCGAAATGGAAGCTTTGAATGGACCTTGTGCGAGCAAACCCAGCCCGGCCTTTATAGTAAGGACCCCATAAGAGTCATATGATAGTTCTGGGCTCCTTATCTGGGAGGTTAAGGTAACCAAAAACCACACAATGCCTATAAGCCCTTACATAACCCAGTTTCCAGAGAATGTTCCATACTTTTTTTTTTTTTTTTTCCGTATTTTCCAGGCCTATTCGGGGGGGTGTTAGGAGTTCAGACTATAGCTCATATAATTACCCATGTCATTTTCTGATCTCTTTGGAATACCCTGTACTATATCTATTCAAGTGTTTTAAGAAGTCCCCAGTATCTACATGAATAAAGCCGGCCGCGCAACATGGGAAGGCAATCCAAGTGACCATTCAGCCCCCAACACCAATCCTCTTCCCCTAGTGTTAAAAACCCCAACCCAACGCTACATACTGCCTTTGTGGCTTAAAATAATAGACAGGGAATATGTAATGGCAGGGAAGTGTTTTTTTCTAAATAGGGAGAGGGATTATTCCTGAAGACACCCGGGGGCCTCTGCTTGCAAGTTCATTCAACATAGCAAGTAACAATCATGTGAAGTGCTATATATCCTCGAAGTAAAGAGCCCTCCATTGATCCCCCCCAGTCTCAAAGACAAAGTTCCAATCTTAAAGTCATAGCTTGGTCAGTTCCATGAACTTCCCAATAGACCTTTAAGTTCCCGGGTGCTTCAAACGGGAAGTGATGCAGTCAATGTATGGACACTCATGGGTGATTATATACAGATTGCTACAGGGACCCGCTCCCTCTCAAGCACAAGTAAGCCACCTGCCAATCCTATAGCCGCATGTGTTGGGGCGTCCGACACTACAGAGGTTTCTTCGCGGATCCCTTCAAAGAAGGAGTCTAGCGTTTGCAGCTTCAGTAAGCAAAAGTACCCTAAAGTTGCGCGAAGCCCTAACCCTAATCCGACTTAGAAGCACCAGTAAGCCAAGCCTGACTTCAGGATGTTCTTGGGCATGGCATTCTCGCACATGTACATCTATGCCTTCGACCACTACCGTGTCCTTCGCTCCATCCAGAGCTGCAACTACACGGCCGCTAGGCTCGGCACTAGACAATGCAGAGGCGATCTTCGATTTTTCGAGGTGCGCTTGAGGTGTACTATACCAAAGTTGTATCAGGAAAACGTCGGAGAATCAATGCTGTTTGGTGAGGTTGCTGACCTGTAGAAGCTCTAGGTAGGGTTCCCTGACCGCGATCTCCAGGATTTGGGCCTGGCTTGCTTGAGCTGAGGCACCGCATCATTTACCACACCTTGCTTGATGTATTCTGCTTCTCAGTGGAGTGGACCGCAGATATCGGTGTAATGTAGGGGCCTAGATAGTTACCATTGTTATACTCCTGAATTCTTTGTATGATCATCGTATAAGGTACCTTCAAATAGATTCAAAAGGATACTGCTAGTTGTTTAGGCCCGCTGTATAGGCCCAGTTTCATTGTATGTTCCGCTTTCTTTTTCCGTCGTTGGGGTAATATCCCAGGTGCCTTGTATAAACCTATGCAATCCCAATTTTTTGCCTTTCGGGCTAGAGGCCCATAAATCCAACAGTCATTGTTGCATATCGTTGCTGCAGACCGTGGAGCCTCAACTGCTGATGTCAGGGCCTGAACCCCATTCCATGCAACCTAAAACCTGGGTTTAGGGCTTGGGGGTTGAGGGTTTAAGGTTTAGAGTTATTAGGGTCTAGGGTTGAGGGTGTCTGAAACCCAAAGTCCCATAGACGCAGTATATACTCAAGACTTTAGCGCAACCCCAGTGAAACGCTTTGGTAGGAGGAACGGATCTTGATGGCGGTCCCTCTACTTGGAGAGGGTCAGGGAAACTTGGTCAGTAGGTTAATAACCCCTATAACCCATATAGTAAGCCAATTTATCCCCATAATTAACCTGCTTACTAAGTCCCCCTGACCCCCCAAGTAAGTAGAATCCTCAAGTAGCTGCCAACCTGAGGACAAGATGGTGGACTGGTGGTCGCAGTGGCACTTTGGGCAGCAAAAGGTTAAGGGTTTGGCTCAGTATTGTTGATAATAAATGAGTCTCATGGTGCTGTAAAATTCTCCGTCTGCGGCTACAAAGTATCGAAACGATTCCGTCGGGCTGCTAGAGCCCGCTTGCTATTGCAGCGAAGGTGTCTCCCAGTATGGGGGGCACGGGCAAGGGCCTCATCCAAGCTTTGTATCTGCATCTTTTAGGGTCATCTGTTAAGGCCCCGCCAAAAGCATTCAAGATTACTGTAGTGTCCTCTTTCCAGTTCGACAGAACGCCTTCAAACCCTACACCCAAACCCTAACCCCTTAACCCTAACCCTTCACACAATAAACCCGAAACCCCAAAGGTAAGGAAACCTGAGGCTGATGTGCATCCCGTGCGGCTGCATGCTGGCCTGCTTTGTGTTCAAGGCAATTGATCTGAGGTGTAGGGTTTGTATAGGGGTTTAGGGGAGAGGGTTAAGGGTTTGTGCTAGGGTATATGGGCACTAGGGTAGCTGAGGGCTTGTCTAAGGGTATATAGGCACTAGGGTAGTAGGGACTAGGGTAGTTTAGGGCGTGTATAAGGTATGTAGGCACGACTAAGTCACTAGGTAGTTAAGGGTTTGTATACGATATACGGGGACTAGCGTAATAATGGAGACTGGAAAATGAAACTGGAACTCGGATTATCTAGTAGGTCACGGGGTGCCTAAGATTCAGCTTTTGCGATTTTGGCCTATACGTGGGTGCAAAAAGTTGGAACACAATCTCGGGATGATGCCTGCGATGTTTCCTGCACCCTAGACCCTAAACCGCGGTAAGTCATTGGGTAGGGAGATGAGGCTGTTCAAGCCGTTTGGCCCTTCTGCAGGGTCTAGAGTCTAAGGCCTTAAAGGGACAGTCAGAAGTTAGGGGAAAAGGATACACAGGGGTTGTGGCTTAAAGTGGTGGGCAACCTAAATTAGGATCCTATAGCTCTAACATTGCATATGATTACAAAGGGTCCTAATTTGGGCCCTGAACCCTAAACCCTTCTTCTGGGTGAGAAGGTTGAGGAGCTTCGGGCCGAAGATGCAGGGATTCCCTATATTCATCGCAATTGTCCCTATAGTGGAATCCCTACCAAAACCCTAAACCCCTAAACCCTAAACCCCTTCCCTATATGATTTCCCCCATTTCGGGAACAGTAATTCGGGCCAAGTCCCTAAGGCCTAAATCGGGTCTCGGCACTCCGAACTTCCGGAGTTTGGGGCTTCACGATGCCTTTAACCAGTTCAAAGTTTAGAGTTTGGGGCTTAAGGTTTAGGGTTGATAGGGTTAGGGGCTTAAGCATTCAGTGAGTTCTACTGAGAGGCAAACATGAATTGCCATAGTGTCCCAACATGATCCCTGCACGGCTCATAAGGACCCCTCATAATCCAGCTGTACTCCGCACACATCCCCAGGGTCCCTCGGGGTTCCCATCTTGACAAACCAAGAAAAACTCCCAGCTACTCCCCTACACCGAGTGGTAAACCCCTGGCCATAAACCCTATAGTTTCGGTAACCCCCCCCCGTAGGAGTTAGGCGACACCTTGCCCCACTAATCTATGGAACCATTTCGCCAGCCCGACAGCCAAATATCAAGCCAAAAAATCCCGAA